GTTAGTACATTGCCCCATTTTTCTAATATGCAGGCGACTTACAATACCAAAGTAACAACTCGAGTTTCCGTTTCTTCTCTTTAACACATATAACATGCTTTGAGTCATGAACTACATTACCCAAAATGCACCGCCGATTACTGGCGCGCATCTCACATTGTGCAGCAAGGAATTAACCACTCGCGTCAACAAAATGTAACATGTAAAATGAAACTCAATTAACATTAACAAGCACCATCATACTCATGAGAATGAACACAGGACATAAACTGATATTTCAGATGTTGTACCGTTCATGGAAGTACGACACAATCGCAGGTTTAAAGCGATACAGTTTATGCAAGTATTAAACATGTACAACCTCTAATTTTACACATAACAGGGTCAACAACGGTATTACCAAAATATTTTGTTCTGATTTCATTGTAACTTCTATTTAATATGCTCTAGGAACATGTTTGAGTTGTCCATTAACAGAGACACATACCTCTCTTCAGAATGTTTCACACAGACTCATGTTACAGGTTGTTTTCTTTACAGTAACTGTAATTGAATAATTGTTCCACTCAATATAATGCATTACACCAAGGCACATTTTTATATATAATTAATATGATTTATGAACACTGAAAATTAATAAAACAATAATAAAACAAAATGAACACAATAACTCATACCTGCAAGCATGAAATGGGACAGTGTTACAACAATCATCTGTTCTGGTTTCACAATCTGCAAATACATCATTTAGTTAGTACATTGCCCCATTTTTCTAATATGCAGGCGACTTACAATACCAAAGTAACAACTCGAGTTTCCGTTTCTTCTCTTTAACACATATAACATGCTTTGAGTCATGAACTACATTACCCAAAATGCACCGCCGATTACTGGCGCGCATCTCACATTGTGCAGCAAGGAATTAACCACTCGCGTCAACAAAATGTAACATGTAAAATGAAACTCAATTAACATTAACAAGCACCATCATACTCATGAGAATGAACACAGGACATAAACTGATATTTCAGATGTTGTACCGTTCATGGAAGTACGACACAATCGCAGGTTTAAAGCGATACAGTTTATGCAAGTATTAAACATGTACAACCTCTAATTTTACACATAACAGGGTCAACAACGGTATTACCAAAATATTTTGTTCTGATTTCATTGTAACTTCTATTTAATATGCTCTAGGAACATGTTTGAGTTGTCCATTAACAGAGACACATACCTCTCTTCAGAATGTTTCACACAGACTCATGTTACAGGTTGTTTTCTTTACAGTAACTGTAATTGAATAATTGTTCCACTCAATATAATGCATTACACCAAGGCACATTTTTATATATAATTAATATGATTTATGAACACTGAAAATTAATAAAACAATAATAAAACAAAATGAACACAATAACTCATACCTGCAAGCATGAAATGGGACAGTGTTACAACAATCATCTGTTCTGGTTTCACAATCTGCAAATACATCATTTAGTTAGTACATTGCCCCATTTTTCTAATATGCAGGCGACTTACAATACCAAAGTAACAACTCGAGTTTCCGTTTCTTCTCTTTAACACATATAACATGCTTTGAGTCATGAACTACATTACCCAAAATGCACCGCCGATTACTGGCGCGCATCTCACATTGTGCAGCAAGGAATTAACCACTCGCGTCAACAAAATGTAACATGTAAAATGAAACTCAATTAACATTAACAAGCACCATCATACTCATGAGAATGAACACAGGACATAAACTGATATTTCAGATGTTGTACCGTTCATGGAAGTACGACACAATCGCAGGTTTAAAGCGATACAGTTTATGCAAGTATTAAACATGTACAACCTCTAATTTTACACATAACAGGGTCAACAACGGTATTACCAAAATATTTTGTTCTGATTTCATTGTAACTTCTATTTAATATGCTCTAGGAACATGTTTGAGTTGTCCATTAACAGAGACACATACCTCTCTTCAGAATGTTTCACACAGACTCATGTTACAGGTTGTTTTCTTTACAGTAACTGTAATTGAATAATTGTTCCACTCAATATAATGCATTACACCAAGGCACATTTTTATATATAATTAATATGATTTATGAACACTGAAAATTAATAAAACAATAATAAAACAAAATGAACACAATAACTCATACCTGCAAGCATGAAATGGGACAGTGTTACAACAATCATCTGTTCTGGTTTCACAATCTGCAAATACATCATTTAGTTAGTACATTGCCCCATTTTTCTAATATGCAGGCGACTTACAATACCAAAGTAACAACTCGAGTTTCCGTTTCTTCTCTTTAACACATATAACATGCTTTGAGTCATGAACTACATTACCCAAAATGCACCGCCGATTACTGGCGCGCATCTCACATTGTGCAGCAAGGAATTAACCACTCGCGTCAACAAAATGTAACATGTAAAATGAAACTCAATTAACATTAACAAGCACCATCATACTCATGAGAATGAACACAGGACATAAACTGATATTTCAGATGTTGTACCGTTCATGGAAGTACGACACAATCGCAGGTTTAAAGCGATACAGTTTATGCAAGTATTAAACATGTACAACCTCTAATTTTACACATAACAGGGTCAACAACGGTATTACCAAAATATTTTGTTCTGATTTCATTGTAACTTCTATTTAATATGCTCTAGGAACATGTTTGAGTTGTCCATTAACAGAGACACATACCTCTCTTCAGAATGTTTCACACAGACTCATGTTACAGGTTGTTTTCTTTACAGTAACTGTAATTGAATAATTGTTCCACTCAATATAATGCATTACACCAAGGCACATTTTTATATATAATTAATATGATTTATGAACACTGAAAATTAATAAAACAATAATAAAACAAAATGAACACAATAACTCATACCTGCAAGCATGAAATGGGACAGTGTTACAACAATCATCTGTTCTGGTTTCACAATCTGCAAATACATCATTTAGTTAGTACATTGCCCCATTTTTCTAATATGCAGGCGACTTACAATACCAAAGTAACAACTCGAGTTTCCGTTTCTTCTCTTTAACACATATAACATGCTTTGAGTCATGAACTACATTACCCAAAATGCACCGCCGATTACTGGCGCGCATCTCACATTGTGCAGCAAGGAATTAACCACTCGCGTCAACAAAATGTAACATGTAAAATGAAACTCAATTAACATTAACAAGCACCATCATACTCATGAGAATGAACACAGGACATAAACTGATATTTCAGATGTTGTACCGTTCATGGAAGTACGACACAATCGCAGGTTTAAAGCGATACAGTTTATGCAAGTATTAAACATGTACAACCTCTAATTTTACACATAACAGGGTCAACAACGGTATTACCAAAATATTTTGTTCTGATTTCATTGTAACTTCTATTTAATATGCTCTAGGAACATGTTTGAGTTGTCCATTAACAGAGACACATACCTCTCTTCAGAATGTTTCACACAGACTCATGTTACAGGTTGTTTTCTTTACAGTAACTGTAATTGAATAATTGTTCCACTCAATATAATGCATTACACCAAGGCACATTTTTATATATAATTAATATGATTTATGAACACTGAAAATTAATAAAACAATAATAAAACAAAATGAACACAATAACTCATACCTGCAAGCATGAAATGGGACAGTGTTACAACAATCATCTGTTCTGGTTTCACAATCTGCAAATACATCATTTAGTTAGTACATTGCCCCATTTTTCTAATATGCAGGCGACTTACAATACCAAAGTAACAACTCGAGTTTCCGTTTCTTCTCTTTAACACATATAACATGCTTTGAGTCATGAACTACATTACCCAAAATGCACCGCCGATTACTGGCGCGCATCTCACATTGTGCAGCAAGGAATTAACCACTCGCGTCAACAAAATGTAACATGTAAAATGAAACTCAATTAACATTAACAAGCACCATCATACTCATGAGAATGAACACAGGACATAAACTGATATTTCAGATGTTGTACCGTTCATGGAAGTACGACACAATCGCAGGTTTAAAGCGATACAGTTTATGCAAGTATTAAACATGTACAACCTCTAATTTTACACATAACAGGGTCAACAACGGTATTACCAAAATATTTTGTTCTGATTTCATTGTAACTTCTATTTAATATGCTCTAGGAACATGTTTGAGTTGTCCATTAACAGAGACACATACCTCTCTTCAGAATGTTTCACACAGACTCATGTTACAGGTTGTTTTCTTTACAGTAACTGTAATTGAATAATTGTTCCACTCAATATAATGCATTACACCAAGGCACATTTTTATATATAATTAATATGATTTATGAACACTGAAAATTAATAAAACAATAATAAAACAAAATGAACACAATAACTCATACCTGCAAGCATGAAATGGGACAGTGTTACAACAATCATCTGTTCTGGTTTCACAATCTGCAAATACATCATTTAGTTAGTACATTGCCCCATTTTTCTAATATGCAGGCGACTTACAATACCAAAGTAACAACTCGAGTTTCCGTTTCTTCTCTTTAACACATATAACATGCTTTGAGTCATGAACTACATTACCCAAAATGCACCGCCGATTACTGGCGCGCATCTCACATTGTGCAGCAAGGAATTAACCACTCGCGTCAACAAAATGTAACATGTAAAATGAAACTCAATTAACATTAACAAGCACCATCATACTCATGAGAATGAACACAGGACATAAACTGATATTTCAGATGTTGTACCGTTCATGGAAGTACGACACAATCGCAGGTTTAAAGCGATACAGTTTATGCAAGTATTAAACATGTACAACCTCTAATTTTACACATAACAGGGTCAACAACGGTATTACCAAAATATTTTGTTCTGATTTCATTGTAACTTCTATTTAATATGCTCTAGGAACATGTTTGAGTTGTCCATTAACAGAGACACATACCTCTCTTCAGAATGTTTCACACAGACTCATGTTACAGGTTGTTTTCTTTACAGTAACTGTAATTGAATAATTGTTCCACTCAATATAATGCATTACACCAAGGCACATTTTTATATATAATTAATATGATTTATGAACACTGAAAATTAATAAAACAATAATAAAACAAAATGAACACAATAACTCATACCTGCAAGCATGAAATGGGACAGTGTTACAACAATCATCTGTTCTGGTTTCACAATCTGCAAATACATCATTTAGTTAGTACATTGCCCCATTTTTCTAATATGCAGGCGACTTACAATACCAAAGTAACAACTCAAGTTTCCGTTTCTTCTCTTTAACACATATAACACGCTTTGAGTCATGAACTACATTACCCAAAATGCACCGCCGATTACTGGCGCGCATCTCACTTTGTGCAGCAAGGAATTAACCACTCGCGTCAACAAAATGTAACATGTAAAATGAAACTCAATTAACATTAACAAGCACCATCATACTCATGAGAATGAACACAGGACATAAACTGATATTTCAGATGTTGTACCGTTCATGGAAGTACGACACAATCGCAGGTTTAAAGCGATACAGTTTATGCAAGTATTAAACATGTACAACCTCTAATTTTACACATAACAGGGTCAACAACGGTATTACCAAAATATTTTGTTCTGATTTCATTGTAACTTCTATTTAATATGCTCTAGGAACATGTTTGAGTTGTCCATTAACAGAGACACATACCTCTCTTCAGAATGTTTCACACAGACTCATGTTACAGGTTGTTTTCTTTACAGTAACTGTAATTGAATAATTGTTCCACTCAATATAATGCATTACACCAAGGCACATTTTTATATATAATTAATATGATTTATGAACACTGAAAATTAATAAAACAATAATAAAACAAAATGAACACAATAACTCATACCTGCAAGCATGAAATGGGACAGTGTTACAACAATCATCTGTTCTGGTTTCACAATCTGCAAATACATCATTTAGTTAGTACATTGCCCCATTTTTCTAATATGCAGGCGACTTACAATACCAAAGTAACAACTCAAGTTTCCGTTTCTTCTCTTTAACACATATAACACGCTTTGAGTCATGAACTACATTACCCAAAATGCACCGCCGATTACTGGCGCGCATCTCACTTTGTGCAGCAAGGAATTAACCACTCGCATCATCAAAATGTAATGAAATGAAACTCAGATTAACATTAACAAGCACCATCATACTCATGAGAATGAACACAGGACATAAACTGATATTTCAGATGTTGTACCGTTCATGGAAGTACGACACAATCGCAGGTTTAAAGCGATACAGTTTATGCAAGTATTAAACATGTACAACCTCTAATTTTACACATAACAGGGTCAACAACGGTATTACCAAAATATTTTGTTCTGATTTCATTGTAACTTCTATTTAATATGCTCTAGGAACATGTTTGAGTTGTCCATTAACAGAGACACATACCTCTCTTCAGAATGTTTCACACAGACTCATGTTACAGGTTGTTTTCTTTACAGTAACTGTAATTGAATAATTGTTCCACTCAGCATTACGCATTACGCCAAAGGCACATTTTTATATAGAATTTATATGATTTATTAACACTGATAATTAAATAATAAAACATAAAACAAAATGAACACAATAACTCATACCTGCAAGCATGAAATGGGACAGTGTTACAACAATCATCTGTTCTGGTTTCACAATCTGCAAATACATCATTTAGTTAGTACATTGCCCCATTTTTCTAATATGCAGGCGACTTACAATACCAAAGTAACAACTCAGTTTCCGTTTCTTCTCTTTAACACATATAACATGCTTTGAGTCATGAACTACATTACCCAAAATGCACCGCCGATTACTGGCGCGCATTTCACTTTGTGCAGCAAGGAATTAACCACTCGCGTCATCAAAATGTAATGAAATTAAACTCAGATTAACATTAACAAGCACCATCAGACACATGAGAATGAACACAGAACATAAACTGATATTTCATATGTTGTACCATTCATGGAAGTACGACACAATCGCAGGTTTAAAGCGTAGGTCTCTCGTTCATCAGTCCCACTCCTGCCCACTAATCACTCAAAATTCTCCGAGCCCTCAGTCTCAGCCTACCTCCGAATCTATCAAATCTACATCATATGTGCCACAGTCCGGGTCAGATCGCTCTGCCCCATTTAGAGGTCGTTATTCTTCCATTTCAAATCGCCAAGTTTGCAACAGATTTCTGCTGTTTCAGGCAAAAATGTCGTTTTTTGCATGTGTGTAATTTCTGTGGCGGTGCTCACGCCCGCCCTGTCTGCCCCGTGTACAAATCTTCAGCAAAAAACAATAAAGATCTAAAAAATACCTTCTTCTTCTGTGAATTACTCAATGTTATTTCTTGAGCTAAAAAATCACCCTGACAAAAATTTTACTCACTATTTGCTTTCCGGCCTAAAACAAGGTTTTGATCCCGGTCTTGAAAGTCTTCCAGATGCCACTTTTGTCTGTAATAACTTACAATCCGCACTGTCAGAACCAGATATCGTAGATTCCCTCCTCGCAAAAGAGGTGGATTCTAATTTTATGATCGGCCCATTCGATTCCCCCCCGTTCGACCTACATCGCATAAACCCTATCGGTATAGCCACCAGAAAATTCTCGGGAAAGAAGCGCATCATTATCGATCTCTCCGCTCCCCACGAGTGCTCCGTCTCCAGCATCAACAGTCTAATCCCCCTCTCAGAATTCTCTTTACACTATCACGATATCGACCAAGCAATTCAACTAATCAAATCCGTCGGCCACGGAGCATGGTTAGCAAAAATCGACATCACGTCAGCCTTCAAAGTCATGCCATTAAACCCCGATTTCTGGCATCTCTTCGGAGTACACTGGCGTAACAAATACTATTTAGCCGTCCGCCTGACTTTCGGTTGTAAAAGCAGCCCAAAAGATTTTTGACACGCTTTCCAAAGCCCTGTGCTGGATCCTTGCTAACAATTACAACATCCCCTACATAATTCATCTGCTAGATGATTTCCTCATCATATCACCAAGGCCGCCCTTTTATCTCCCACCTTCTCTCTCTAGCATCCTCGGTCCCCGACTTAAACGGTCCCCGACTTTAGTCACCCTGAATGAATCGTGTAGAGCAGATCTCAATCTCTGGCGTTTGTTTCTTAATCAATGGAACGGCCTCACCTTTTTCTACAACGCCCACGTCGCACTAGCCACCGACATGCACCTGTTCACAGACGCAGCCCCCTCAGTTGGATTCGGGGGGTATTTCCAAGGGCGCGGGTTCGCTTCAACATGGCCTCCCGAACTCCTAAATTTGAAACCATCCTTCTCCTCCGCTCTATTCGAGCTCTACTCAATCGTCGTCGCCGCGACTTTATGGGGGAAAGAATGGGCCTCTAAAAGCATCCTCTTCTATTGTGACAACTCAGCAGCAGACCACTGCATAAATAAAGGCAGATCCAGTTCCACGGAAATCATGCCTTTCCTAAGACGTTTGATCTGGACGTCTGCCTGCAACCAGTTCATAATTAAAGCAGTCCATATATCAGGTTGTAGAAACTCAATTGCTGACTCTTTTTCCCGTTTTGCCTTTCAGAAATTCAGATCATTAACTCCTCAGGCAGACCAGTCACCCACACCAGTGCCTCCTTATTCGGACCTGACGTTCCAGTAAACCACCCTCTCCTCCATCTTCACGACTTATCCACCCATCTCATCCTCCAAGCCGTTTCTCCAAGAACACTCAGCTCATACTGGACGGCTTGGAACTGTTTCAAAACCTTCCATTCTCACCACAAGCTTCAATTTCCTGACTTCTCTCTCACAACTGTTTCTTCTTTTGCAACTTTTCTCCACCACTTCAAACAGATCCAACCCGGCTCCATAAAAACATATCTTAGTGGTATCCAATTTTTCCATAAACTAATTTTCAGCCGCCAATGCCCCGCCATCAACAACCCTCAACTCTCCCCCATGGATTTTCACTGGTATTGGTACCGAATACTGAAATTTTGGTACCGTGACAACACTAGACACAGGTATAAAGCATCGCAAGCTAGAAATGAAGAGCACAAAGAACTGAAATCAATGATTAGGCTACAACTAGCTGAAGTTTGCTGTGCTTTATCCTAACATTACACAAATAATGCCTGCAATCATTCAGTCAGGGACGACTGCACAAAACGTGCACTGTAAACTAATAAAAACATTATAAACTGTTACGAAATGATAAACAAATGTAGTTTGTGCAACACTGTAAATATATTTACCTTTTAAAAAATATATATATTCCATTAAACCTGCTGAGATACAAGGAGCGTGAACTGAAATTCTCAGTTCCACTTGGTTCCACGCGCATGTCCGAGAAACTCATGAATATTCATGTATGCTCCGCCCACTGAAACCGAAAATCTCGGAAACCAAAAATCTCGTAACACCTGCTGCTCACGAAACGCTCTTGCGTTGCTTTGATGCCACACGTGACAGTGACGTGGCGTCTGCGCCGTCTCAAGTCGGACAAAATTACTAACCGAGGGAAAGCTGGACAACGTGTGATTCGGATGAAGAAAGGTTAGTGCGGTAAAGGGGAAGAGCTGCGACTCGGTGGGTCTGGGCCTCGGACGAGTGCCTGGCAGGAGTTTGGATCAGAGGATCATGGCGGCTAAATCAAGCAATTAAAAAAATACGAAGAATAAAGCTCGTGGACATCGAACGGGTAATGGATCAGAGAATTTAAGAATGGATGATACAGGTGAAGAGGAGGATGATATGGAGGTAGGGTGGACACAGAGGGAAGATCAGGAAAGAAGGAATCTAAAAAGAGGGAAAAAGGTAAGGAGGAAGGATCAGAAAGTAGTTCGGTAGCGAGTGAGGAAGAAGGGGATGGAAGAAATAAGGTCATAGGTGGATTTAGGGTAATATTAAAATTTAAAGAAGCGGTAGGAGTTTCAGGAATAAATCCGTTGACGTTGACATACGAATTGAGGAAATTAGTAGGTGAGATAGAGTTTGCAAAAGTGCTGCAAGATGGTGCTTTATTGATAACTTGTATGAATGAAGAGCAGAAAAGCAAAGCTATAAAACTAAAAGCAGTGGGAAAGCAGTCGGTGATGAGCTTTAAGATTGTAGGACAGACGTCGTGGGTGTTTGGTGTGATAAATGGCGTTCCGTTAGGAGTTAATATGGAGGAATTAAAAAAGAATCTAGATGGAGGAAAGGTCATTGATGCAGTCCGTTTACAGATGAATAGAGATGGAAGAAAAGTAGATAGTTTGTCAGTGCGTCTAAAGTTTGAAGGGAAAGAACTGCCAGATCGGATTAAGATGGGTTTTATCAGCTACCCGATTCAGGAATACATAGCCCCACCGTTGAGGTGTTATAATTGCCAGAGGTATGGGCATACTGCATCAGTATGTAAAGCTAAAATTAGATGTGCGCGTTGTGGAGGGGAGCATGAATTTGGGAAGTGTGATGAAGGAGTTGGTCTGAAATGTTGCAATTGTGGAGGAAGGCATAATGCGGCATATGGTGGGTGTGAGGTAAGGAAAAGGGCAGCAGAGGTACAACAGGAGAAAGTTAAAAAATAATCTAACTTATGCTGAGGCTGTAAAGGTAGTAAGGGTTAGGAATAAGCCAAGTGGGACAGAACGAATGGTGTATGAAAAGAGAAGTGAAGATACAGGGAAAAAAATGGAGAGGGAGGAGTAACAGAAGATACAATGTTGGTAAATAAAAACAATCTGTGCTCTTTATGGTAGAGGTAATTAACTGTACTGCCCAAACAGAAAGAAGAACAGAAAAGATACAAATAATTATCAAGGCAGCAGAAAGATTTCTAGAGATAAAGGGTTTGAAGTGTGAAGACATTAGGAAGAGTCTCAATACAGAGTCTCAGTCAAGCCAGGAGTTATGGGTTGGATAAAGGTTTGTTAACTGTCTTACAATGGAATGCTAGAAGCCTTTGTGCAAATGGTCAAGAGTTTAAAGGATATATTATTCAAATGAAGGAAAAGCCAGATATTATATGTATACAAGAGTCATGGCTGAATTCTAGGTTAGATTTTGTGTTAAAGGGGTATGTGAGAAGGGACAGGGAAGATGGTAAAGGTGGGGGTTGTGTTACGTTTATAAAAGAAGGAATGCCTTATAGAGTTGTGGAGAAAGGGGTGACTATGGAGTATATCGTTGTAGAAATATGGTCTGGAATGAAGAATTATGTCATAATAAAATGTTATAATCCGTGTAAAAGATTGGCACAAAACAATATGGAAGAAATAAAAGGATTAAGTGGAGAAAGAGTAATATGGTGCAGTGATTTTAATGCTCATAATACTTTATGGGGTGGATTATTAACAGATACAAATGGATTAATCATTGAAGAGGTGATAGAAAGGAAAAACTTGGTCTGCATAAATGATGGAAGTTACACGCGTTGGGATGTAAATACAGGTAGGGAATCTGGAATAGATTTAACATTTGTTTCAAATTTGCTGGGTGGAATAATAAATTGGGAGGTTCTAAG